TCGTAAAATCCTCTGATCCAACTCCTCAAAATCTACTTTTGGACACAGAAGGAAAATAGAATTAGAAATCCACGACAAAGTGCATAAAATTGGCCAAGGGATCGACATAATAAATGAGGTGTCCACGCCCTTCTTAAATTTCCCTGATATAATCGAAGTCCGTGTCGGACTTTTGGGCTAAAATGCAATTTTTCTTCAGTTCTAAACGACAGGCTCGGTATCGAGAAATTCTGGAATATCACGGTGATACCACTCACGTGGTATCCCGCTCCAATAAAAATACAACAGCTCAGCTCCCTTAATACAGGTCATCAAAATGTAACGGGAGATAAAATTTAATAGAAAGCACAAATCTCCGTCAACATTAACAGAGATTAAGGTCCCAACCCGAAGTTAGGGTTAGAAGATTTCCTCTTTTTTCAGAGGACTTCGTTCCTCTCCATCTTAGATTCTCATGGGCAAGCAGCAGGCATCGAGGCGAACGGTCATGGCGCAATCGTTTCATGCTATAACGTTTTCATTTCACTCGATCCAGAAAATTTTCCCTTTTCGAGTTCACCGTCCTTTTCCTCTCCATCTATATCACAAGTTTATCGAAGTACTTTCATTTTTACTTGTAATTAATGGTAGTTTCTTGTTTCTTGAATTTACAGTGCACTATATTTTGGAGCAAAGTGCAGTTTTGTGTCTCATTCAACTGGAAAGTTTTCTGAAATTGGGAAATAAATCTTTTTGATGACACGATTTCCGTTGACACTGTCTCTTAGTTGGTAAGCCCAAAGGAAATTTTTGTTAGGCCCTTTTCTCCCCCTTTCGCTTTCTATCCATTTTTTAGGTTTTAATTTTAGAGAATAGACTAATTAATAATTATTTATGATTCTATTTATATTTCTTGACTCTCTAAATTTACGAGCCTTCTTTGAGTTTGCTGATACTCCATCATAGAATTTCAACAATGTTCTATACGTCAGGACAAATTGATAAAATCACCTAACAAGTTCTTGCATTAGAAATTTAATTTTTTTTCTTCTTCTTCCAGAGATTGAATTAATTCAGATTCAATGAAATATAATTGTAAAATTCCCAGTTTTTAGTCGCCAAGATTCATATTTTATGTTAATTTCTTGTGTTTTGTCTTATTTGCTGCTCTAGCTCTCTCGCTACTGAATAAGAATATAATACAATTCCAAGTATATATAGATGAAAAAAAATCAAGGGATTGATTTAATTATTTCATGGATTGTTGAGGCTGACTTCGATCAAAACAACAATGTCTTGCATATTGATGTTATTGTATATGCCAATTTCATTTTTCATTTATTATTTAATCATGCTTAATGCTTTCTTTTGCAAGGTCGTAGATAAAGGTTCAGAACTCGGGAAGTCTGATGCAATTTGCTGAAGTCCATCAAATCTGCTGCCTCTCATTATCGTAAATTAAGGTTTACACAAAGTTGTTCTAATTAAAGGAGAGAATCTGACTAAAACTTGTGCCAAGGTGTTAGGCAATTCCAAAGAGACTCTTGAAGAAGGTACAAGATCATCTCCGATGAACATAGATCCTTTCCCTTTCCCGTAGAGGCTTGAGACTTGTTTTTATGATAGAACAATCCATAATTTTAGAGTACTAGTGACTTAAATGAT